GATAGATAGATAGATAGATAGATAGATAGATAGATAGATAGATAGATGATGGATGGGTAGAAAGATAGCTAGCTAGCTAGCTAGCTAGCTAGATAGATAGATAGATACCAAGATAGTCAACTGTCACCTCCTTCATTTACAACATGGAGCTGAAGTAGAGAAAAGAGTGCTTCTTTTGTGTGCAGTTTTACTTCTCACAAACTTATTATTGTTTTCACCAATTAAATGACTAAGTTTTTGTTAATGTTGGGTGACTGATGTAGTAGCAATGGCTGCAATAGTAGATGCAACTCTGAAAAATAACTAGAGAAGCAGAGTCTATCTTTGGGAAAAGGACTATAGCATTGAGGAAAAGAGTCCTCATACTCTTTGGGTCCTGACTATTAAAATGAGACTGTCACATCAAATAGTATTGAAGATAGAGTCTGATGAAGAGCACATTCAAAGGACTTCACATCACATATAAGCAAAGCACAGAACAATATGTCAAGGGTAAGGCATGTGTGAGGTTTGCATATACTTATACATAAACAAACACATATGCATGTATGTATACAGAAGCTTGCACTCTATGGTATGTTTGAACATTTCATTCAAACTTAATTATTATATACAACCTGATGTATTAAGTTTGTATATTGTCTTTGCAAACTAGAGTATGTATCAACTTTCTGAAGCCTGGATATTTCTGTACATAAAGGCATGGTTCATTTTCTCTGGGAGGTTCCCAAATCAATTCTTAAATTTTAACTAATAAGTTTGGAATGTACAGAAAGAAAAGAGATGATAGGAAAAGAACTAAACAAAACTAATTTAAAAAAATTTCTAATGTCACTTGGCAGTGTCAAACAAATTTACCAAACTGGCTAATTAGAACTTTTATAACTTGTAGTTTAAGGATCTATGGAGTGTATCTCGATTACATTAGAATTGTTATATTTCTCATGTTCTAAAAATTTTTTAAATTATATATAATTTTAAGTATTGAGTTATCTAGACTAGGCAATCTTACAGGTGTATAATGATATAATTATATTTATTATATTATTTAAATTAGCTTCAGTTTTCAACTGTTTCAAAGCAAATCAACAATTTCTGAGAAATATGAAGACTGAACTTTTTATATACTAGATATTTTTAATTCTAACTTTTCAAAATACCTTCACATTGCATATGTGGTTATAATTCAATAGAATTATTAGTTAATTACAAATGCATCTTAGGATTATTTATTTTGTTTTTATTCTTATAGATTATAAGGTTTTCTTAAGAGCTGGTAAGCATTTTATATATTAATACTATGTTTTATGTAATTTTGACATTTTCCCCTTTGTTTGTAAAGTTTCAAAAATCATATTGTGACTTACAAGACTTATTTATTTAGTATTTGCTTTATAATCTCATGTGGCTATTTTTGTTCATATTAATTTATTTGCATTGGTGCCTATTCTTATTGTACCAATAGTTTAAATTTTACTATAAAATAATATAGATTAATTTAACTTGAAATTAGATAATAAAACTGGGTCTTGGTGGTACATGCCTTTAATCCCAGGACTTGGGAGGTAGAAGAAGGAAGATCTCTGTGAGTTCAATGTCAGCCTAATTGTCCAGAGTGAGCTCCAGGACAGCTAGAGCTGTTACACAGAGAAACCCTGTCTCAAAAAAAAAATTAGAAAGTAGGAAAGTAGAAAAGTGAAAAGGTTACAAATAATTCAAATATTTTACTAACCATTATTAATATGTTTTCACATCAATGTTTAGAAGAAAACAAATAGATGGTAGATGACAAAAATACAAAGATGGTAAATACAAGTTATGATAGACAGGTGATAAATACAGATAATAGGTATTTTGGTTATATCTAGCTATAAACTAAGTATATATCCTTTCTCTTTGGATAATAGGAGTATAGGTGATTTGAGTTAACGTTTTAAAGTGGTCTATATATTCCTAAATATTTTTAGTAATAACTCTTGCAGTCAGAAAAAACACATAATTTATTAAATGTTTAATAAAAATTAATTTAATAAAAATTAACATGTGTGGTAAAGTCACTTAATGAGAGACTTGTAAGTCTAAAAGAAATTCTGATGCTTTTGCAGTTCTTGCTTCTACTTAAATACTTGTGCTGACTATTTTTTTCCAGATTGCTGAATTGGTATTCCTGAGTTTTGTGGTTTTAATTTGATCCCAGTTTATTTGAACTTTATCTGTGGTAGTTCTTTTTCAGCTACAATATAACTTTTATTCAAAGATATCTGCAAACTGCTAGAACATTCCATGATTTATTTATGATGTTTTCAGAAAAAGCAGTTCAAGTCTTTTCAAGTGGGCATCTCTGTTTTCTCCACCCCTTCCTGTTCTGGGTCCTCTGTTCAAGGGAAAGTATAAAGTGGTTGTTGTTGTGTGGTTCCACCAAGTCCTCTCCAACAGTTAGAGTCTCTGGGCTAACTGGTGCTTGGAACAGTGTGATCAGAGCCCACTCCTGACTTCCTTGCGGAGTCAGTTGAAGAAAGAACATCTGTTTTGTACTGCTATCTGTGTGGTGGTCAGAGTAACACGGAAGAAAAATTCAAGGTTTCACAAGGACAGATTGGTCTCACTGTGGTGAAGTGACACTGTGTCACATCATCAGAATCACTGTCTCTCTTTGCTCTTCACATTGCTTCATCTCAAATGCATGTCCAGTGAGGAAGCCCAGCAAGCAGTCCAGAGAGTAAGAGTCAACTTGCAGAGGCAGATGTGTGTGTGTGTGTGTGTGTGTGTGTGTGTGTGTATGTTGGTTTAACTTAGCAGCCCATACAATGAAATGTCTCTTTGTTCTTAATTCCTTCACAGTTGAAATCTTCAAAGAAACCCCAATAATATACATAATCCAGACTCTCTGTGTATATTCCATCTTTATGTGGCTTATTTTTTTACTCCTTTAATCGATTACTGTCTATACTCTGTCTCTTTAAAGACTTCATTTTATTTTTTAACACCATTTACTTTTTAAACTATTTTTTCTCTCCTAATCATACATACATTTATCTTACACTGTTACCCATTAAGAGGTTTTTTTCTTAATTTGAATCTGTTTTTATTGAGTATCTGAAATTATTTTCTGACCAGAAGGTCCTTATTTTAAATGCTAATTGAGTGTAGCTAGGACCAACTCCATAGTTCTGCCTGCTTGTTCTACCCAGTCCAACATGGCAGAGGCATGTTCACTGCCTCTGAGAGACATTCTTTCTGCCCCAGATCCAGGGACACAGCGTGTCTGTGTCACCATTTAATAATTTGTAACACACTACTTACAGACCATATTTAAGTGCTTGGCCTCTTGAAAGAGTCAGCGCTATTCTGTGCAACTTGCACAAACTAGAAAGCCTTCTTAAAGGAGCCCCACAGTTTTTTGCTGCTACGGCTGAGTCAGGAAGCCTTCTCTTAGAGGAATTGCACTACTACTTGCTTCTAGCAAGTAGAATAAGAAGTTGTGTTAAACTCTGGTTTTTTGTGTGTCTAGAATTCCTTTCCAATCTCTATCAGGTGTGAAGTGGTTGTAGTTGCCCAAGTTATGGCTATAAATTTTGGGTGGACACTGCTCATTCATTCTTAGCCTCTCACAGTCAAAATAGTCACACAGAAACTACATTAATTGCAACATTGTTTGGCCGATAGCTTAAGCATATTTCTGGTTAACTCTTATATCTTAAATTAACCCATTTTCATTATTTTATATTTTACCACAAGGTTCGTGGTTTACCAGCAAGTTTCCAGAGCATCTGTCTCTTGCAGTAGCTACATGGAGTCCCATTGACTTCACCTTCTTTTTCTCAGTATTCAGTTTAGTTTTCTAACCTAAATCCATTCTGCTAAGCACTGACCAAAACAGCTTTATTGATTTATCAATAAAAACAACACTTAAACAGAAGGACTTTTCATACTAGGATGGGGCCATCAGAAAAACTCAATCATTCTGCCCTGATCCCATCTGACCAAGCATGTTACCTCTATTTGGTCAATTCAAACTCAAAAATAAATAATACCTCAATCACTCAGCTGATATCCTCACCTATGACCACATTATCCAATTTCTACTTTAAACTTTCACCAGAAATCAATCAATTTTCCACCCATTGCAACAAAACACACACTCACAAACATCAATTTCCATCTACAAAGGATTTCTAGGTG